TTCCAATTCTTTGCAATGTTATCTATAATTTGTTGTGATCCACACAGTCTAATGCCTTTGTACAGTCAATAAAACACAGGTAAACATCATTCTGGTATTCTTTGCTTTCAGCCAAGATCCATCTGATATTAACAATGATATCCCTCATTCCACGTCCTCTTCTGAATCCAGCTTGCATTTCTGTAAGTTCCCTGTCAGTCTACTGCTGCAACCATTTTTTAATTATCTTAAGCAAAATTTTACTTGCATGCTATATTCATGATATTGCTCAATGATTTGCACATTCTGGTAGATCACCTTTCTTTGGAATGGGCACAAACATTGATCTCTTCAGGCAGTTGACCAGGAAGCTGTCTTCCAAATTTCTTGGCATAATTGAGTAAGTGCCTCTATGTTGCATTTGTTTGTTGAAACATCTTAATGGGACTTTTATTTGAGCAAATGCAAAACCTTGTTTGGAGAACGAGACTTCAGCCACATTTCCCACCTGCTGTTCCTACTGGCAGAGAACATCTTGAAATGCTTAAGCTAGTCCTCATTATAGAAGGATTACCAGAAGGCTGGTGGTTCAAACCCACCAGCCACTCCTCAGAAGGAAGGTTGGGCAATCTACTTCTGTTACTGATACCACCTCAGAAACCCAAGGAGGGGTCGTTATGAGTCACATCTGACTCAATGGCACATAACAAAAACATTAGAGAAGAGTTCCACACTCCCAAAGGTCACAGTTGCAAGAAAGTTGCCAAGTCCTTTCATCTCCCTTATGGGTGACTCCCCACAACCCACGTGCACTCTAAGAGTCACCAGAACTGAGTAGACAATTTTGTAGCAGCAGTCAAGAAATCAAACACATACTACATTGGAAAAATCTGCTGCAAAAGACCTCTTTAAAGTGTTAAAGAGCAAAGATGTCACTTCAAACTAACCTTATCCAAGCCATGGTATTTTCAATCACCTCATATGCATGTGAAAGTTGGACAATGAATAAGGAAGATCAAAGAAGAACCAATCCCTTTGAATTATGGTGTTGGCAAAGAATACTGAAAATAGCATGGACTGCCAGAATGAACAAATCTAGAGGCAAAAATGGCCAGACTTCATCTCAGCTACTTTGGTCATGTTGTCAGAAAGGACTAGTCCCTGGAGGATATCACGCTTGGTTAAAGGTCAGCAAAAAAAGGGAAGATAACATCAAGCTCAACTGGCATAACATGCTACACAAAACATTGTTCCACCTTCTACTTTGGCAAGTAGTGACTGGGATCTTAAAAGCTTGCAAGTAGCCATCTAGATGCAACAATGGGTCTCCGTGTCCAGAGCTAAGAAGAATGAAGAAAACCAAAGATTCATGGAAACAATTAGTCCTAGTGACTGGTACACCATGCGATCCATGCCTATACAACTGTGAGACCAGAATAACTAGATGGTGCCCGGCTACCACTGTCAACTACTCGGAGGTGGATCTATGTAGGAGATCCAGGATAGAGAGGGAACACAATGTGGAACAAAACTCAAAATCATTTGGAAAAAAAAAAAGGGGGGGACCAGGTTTGCTGGTCTGATAGACCCTGATGGAACCACTGAGTCTATGGCCCCTAGCTGCCCTTCAGGTCTGGAACTGAACCCACACCTGTGGCTTCCAGCCAAACAAAAGACAGGCATATGAGCTGAATATTTACATTAGGTAGTTATACTCCTTGGAGAAATCAATCATAGGAGAATAGAAGGGCTGTGTATGCACAGGGAGACAGCTCAGGGCACAGGAATGCATTGAAGGATGGACGCAGGGAGGAGGAAACTATCCGGAGGCAGTGGGAGGGGAGCTGCTGAACTGGGATAAATTGTGGTCAATGTCATGAGACAAAGCGTATGTGAACTGCTGTATGGAAAGTGAATTTGCTCTGTAAATTTTCACTCAAATCACAATTAAAAAAAAGGAAAACCTTCAAAAAGATGGATTGACCCAGTCGCTGCAATGATAGGCTCAACCACAGCCAACCATTGTGTTGTTGTTATATGCTGTCGAGTCATAGTGACCCCTCCTTGGGTTTCC